GTGGGTGTGGGTGTGGGTGTGGGCGTGGGTGGGTGTGGGTGTGGGTGCGGGTGGGTGTTAGTGAGAAGAAAACAAATACTAACATGCACACCCACACCACACACACACCCACACCCACAGCCCACACCCACGCACACCCCACACTCATACACCCATACCCTTAAAACCTTCGATACCTTTAAGAACAATTATCTTATTTATTTCTGATTAGACGTCTAATAAAGGTATTACACAAGGTAAACTTTATTCAACGAAAACAATTATAAAGAATCAAATATTTTCAATAATATTTGCATCATCAATGGGACGAAATTATACATTAATTCCATCAATGATTGGATCATTATCTCCTGGATTAATTTGGTCATTTGATAATCAATATGAATTATTTACTTTTTATGAAAATCATTCTCTCTTTGTATTAAATGAATAATGTAATGATACATTATTTTGTCTTTGGTATACTTCACCTTTATGATATTTTAATGATTCTTTATCAACTAAATATGGTTTTATTCTTTAACTATTAATTCTGATAATATTCAAATGACAATAATGGTTAAAGGTGTACTAAGTGAATTAGTTGCTATTTTAGTTCACAATTCGAAATTCGAGTCAATTATACATTTAAATTGTCATTTTTCTGATGAAAAGTTACAAGCTCAAATTAGAATAAATTCTACAAATATTACTTGTTTATAAAATAAAACAAATCATTTTCAATTACGATATTTGATTTATTTCTATTTTACAAATATAAGTTAACACTGTTAGTCGTATAAGTTAATTAAAGAGAATATAATCAATTATTGATATCGAATTTAAATCAAGCATATTTTTTCTAATCTTATTTAAACTCTGCATCAGTATTTTTTTTTTGAAATGAAAAAATAGAAAGAAAATCAATTTATTCGTACATTATCTGAACGACGATAATTTCGATGCATAACTAAAACAAATTTAGTTGAAAGGCTTGCCATAGATATCTATCGGCAATGCAGATTTGATACATTTTACTTATCTTAATAATTCTCTAATACGTTCCATGAATAATCTGTATAAAACAATGTTTTAATAAACGTTCAATAAACAAGAGAAGACTAAATTGATGAGTTTGATTGAGTGTGCAAAAGTCGCTAAAAAAATCGTTTCATATATCGTAGATAATATGATAGATTATTTTATGCAATTGACTAGCAAAACAAAATGACAACATTAAGATTACATAATACAATGATGTACATTAACCTGGCATCCCACCGACAGCTCGTCGAAAAAGAGGAAAAAAGAGGAATTTCGTTGTCAGAGAAAAGAGGATTTTTAATAAAAAAAGAGGAAAAAAAGAGGCGCATTTTTTCAGCTTGTAAAATGCGAACAAAGACTCTCGCGAGCCTCAAAGGTTGACAGATTGCAGCATCGGTAATCTGAATTCAATACAGACTGAAAAAATCCGAAAGATAAAAGCAATTTTCAGTTGTTGACATTTGTTGCAATCATGCTTTTTCTATTCAGCTCAGAAAAAAAGAACTAAAAAAAAAGAAAAAAACGGATGTGATTCAAAGGTACTTCACTGTGATATCACTTTATCTTACTACTTGTAGACAAAGAAATAGACATTTAAAAAAATCACTCAATATCCAAAATCTGTTCAGTTTATAATATTACGAGAGTAGAAAGACCTAACAAAAAGCGAAAAAAGAAACAGTAGAGCGTGCATATTGATAAGACAAGAAAATGGTTAAATTTGACTTAAATCAAAAGTTGCAAAATGTCTTTCTCAAAACGATGACCAGAATTTCTACCTTGGACAGCAGAAGTTCTCTCTGAAAGCACAACAATACCAAATGTGATCAATTCTACAGATTTGAAATAATTCGAAATTC